GTCGTAGAGACCCATCCAACGGGACCAGGTGCCGGCGGCGACGATACAAGCGCCAGACTCGTCCGGGTGTTGGCTTGACAGCGCAGAGACCATTCCCTTCATGCCAACGCCGCCACCTTTGAGGAGATGCCGCTTAGAAGGGATGGTAGGGATGGTCAAGATGGGACCATCAGAGCCAGTCCGTGATACGTCAAAGTGGTCGAGGCGATTTGTCGAGCCGGCTAGGAAATGGGTCCCAGGCCAGGACCACAAGAGGGACTCAGGGCAAATGTACTCTTCTGTCTCCCGTCGGATAAGCTTGTAGGAGCATAGCGGAGGCGAAGACTGAGAGTCTGCAAAGACGTGGTAGAGCTGGATAGGGTGGTCTTTGCAGCCGAGAAGTGCAAGCTGGGTTTGCGGGTCGGCCAAGGAGAAGTAGGGTGAGACAGCTGCCGAGTAGAAGGGTTCCGGTAGACGCAGTTGCCCCTGCGGCGTCAACGTCCGGGGCCGGCCGTTGGGGTCGAGGAGATCTGCCGGCAGTACGTAGGCCGACAGCCGGTTGTCGGACGTTGAAGCGATGAGTGTTGTGCCGTCAGGAGTCCATTGGACTCCGCGAAAGAAGCTCTTGTGCTTTCCTGGTGGATCAGAATCTCTAGCGGCTATCTCGGAGGAAGCTACGAGGTCCATGGAGGGGGCGGAAAGATCGGAGGGGTCCTTGGCCGAGTTTGCTGGGTCGTAGTGTTGCTGCATGGGGTCTGCATCCTTGTTTTCCGCCGCGGGATGCATCGTTGATTAGGGTTAGAGGGTAGGTGGGCGATATTGAAGATACACTAGCATTACTCAGTGGTGGGTGTGATTGGCGATGGAAAGTGAGGCTGGATCGCGCAGGGCGTTGAAGAATCAAGATTCTGCAGGCGTGAAGATCGCAGTGATATCGTCCAGGAAGCTAAACGGGGGTAGAATGTGCAGGTATTTGCCATTGAGAAGGAGCCAAGGGAATGTGGAGGGATGGATGAGATGCTCCCCGAATCGTGTTGGCGCGGTGTGCAAGTGTCAGTGGTGATGTGATTGATGCATCGTCTTTGCCTTGAATTTGAGGTCAAGTCCGAGTCGAGCAATTGGCAAGAGGAAGATTGCAGCGCTGTGTCTGCATTACTGCATTTTCAGTTGTGACCCTGGCAAGAGTGGAGACAGCTTCGGTGAGAGGCCCTGATTGTTGACTTCACCACTAGCCTAAACTGGCTCACCATCTTCTTCACCGACCAAGTGGGTGTGCAGGTGAAGGTCGGGTCATCATGTGGTCCGTTTCCGCTGTTGGCGAGGAAGGCAGTACCTAGCTAGATATCTTACCAGGCAAGTTGGGGAGGGCAGGCACGTTGATCGGCAGTAGAGCCCCAGACCTCAAGCGGCTTCCTTCCTCAAGCACCAAAGCAAGGCAAGGTGAGGTGAGGCGCCTCACATACTAACCTAGGCAGTTACGGCACGGGTTCTTGGGAGGTTTTTTGTTGTAAAGCCCCAAAGATACCGCGACTCGTGAGTGCCTTCCTTCTATGGTGTTAGGTAAGCAACGGAGCGTTCCTGCGTTTCAGCCAGGGCAGATTCAGGTACGTAGATACGGACACGACACTACAAGTACTGCGGGCAGGTGCACTGCGAAAGGAGTGGAGGTCACTAAGACAGCGACGTCATGGGGGGAGCTAGCGATGCATGTTCCTGGTCCTAGCGCTGATTGGGGAGGGACTTGCCGCCTGCAACGCCGCGCCGCGCTGACACTCCGGTGACCCTACCAGCGGAAGGTACCTACTCCATTGCTCTGGCCTGCCCGCTGCGAGCCTGTGACACGAATTTCGCAGGTTGCACTGCGCCGTCCATTGTTTCCCCGTGCTCCATGCCTCTCCCGTCCTCACCTCAAACCGTACCTAAGGTACCTAGGTCACCCGTGTGGCTTTCCTTCCACTCTGACACCCAATCTCCAACCCCGCTGGTGCCGGACTTTATTCCTCCAAAGCACCACAACCAGTAGACCGACTCGACAGCTCGATTGACCTTCCAACACTCAAGTGTCCTTCTGCCTTGCCTTTGGTGCCCAGGTACTGTGGATCTCAGCAGGTGAGACCTTGGAGACATTCTCTCGACCCGTGGCTGGTCGACTCATCATCTCTGCAGTTTCCTGCGTATTACCTACACATCAATCTGAGCCAGGCAGGCCATCTCCTGTCCTCCATCCACTACCACCGCAACTTGCAGCCAAGTCGCCGTGGGCCGGACTCTCTCGCGCCCATCTTCGCTGTTGCCGACTCCATCGTCCCGTCTCTCTCTCTTCTCCGTCTCTCGACGACTGCATCCCCACCCAAATCACCGAACCACCGACAGGAGCGAAGCCAAGGCGAATCCAAAGTCCCGCGACTACTTATTCCTGACCTTCCGACGATTACGCAATGCTCGCCTAGCTGCTACTTCCTCTTCCATCTTGCCGCTTTGCTTTGGGTTTCCGGGACCCCGTCATCCTTCCTCTGCGACGCGACGGACAACCCGCCTGTGGTTATACTCGAGAAAGAGCTGGTGTCACTGCCCACCAAAACAGCCGAGGCTGTTCATTGCAACCCACTTCCGAGACCAACGCCTGCACATTGCCATACTCCGGACGGTCCTGCTACCAAGTATGGTTGTGACAATCTTTGACGACCGCTGCGCCGAGCTTCGCGCTCCTGGCTTCCTCAATCTGACGATTTCCATGTGAGTCCAGCTCTACGAAGGGTTTCTGTATTATGCCAAGCAACAGCTAATTTGTTCCACACAGTATCATCCTCATCGGTCTCATCGTCTCCTACCTGCCGCAGCACTACCGAATTATCGCCAGAGGTACCTCGGAAGGCATCTCGCCATGGTTCGTCTTGCTGGGAGTCACGTCCGCCACTGCCGGCTTCGCCAACATTCTGACCGTCCCGCCCTCGAGACGCGACATTGCCTGCTGTAGCGAATTGGATACTTTCGAATGTGCTGCTGGCTTACTCGGAATTGCCCAGCTGGGCATGCAATGGATCTCCTTCGCGCTGATGTGAGTTTCTCCTCCCATGTTTGTTCGCCAATGGCACATACACGTACTAACTCGTGCCTCTGGCAGCCTTGTCCTGTTCCTCATCTTCTTCCGGTACGACAATGCGACTGTTCCCGATGAGGAGCTGGTCGATAAGCCACCCTCGTGGCACACTGCTATAATGGTCGGCTCCGTGAGCTTGATCCACGGCCTGCTCGTCATCATCCTGACTGTGGTCTTCACCACTGCGCTCAGAGACCACCTCGACTTGTGGGCAAATTTCCTCGGCGTCATGGCCGCCGCTCTTGCCGCGGTCCAGTACATTCCGCAAATCTGGACAACCTACCACATCAAGCACGTCGGCAGCTTGAGCATCCCCATGATGTGCATCCAGACCCCCGGCGGCTTCCTCTTCGCCGGAAGCCTATTTGCCCGCCTTGGCTGGGAAGGATGGAGCACGTGGGGCGTTTTCGTCCTAACTGCCTCAATACAGGGCGTTCTTCTCGCCATGGCCATTTACTACGAATTTCAGGAGCACCACGGAGAGCCGCAATCTCCAACCCTCGTCGACGAGCCAAGACGCCCTAACCCGACCAGAACATACTCGGAAGGTTGGGAGCAAGGCCTTCCTGGCCCTTACACGGCCCATCCCGAACGGTACGCCGACACAGAGGAGGAGCTGGAGCGGTTACAAGATAGAGAGGAGCGGCAGGTTGAGCGAGAGACGAGACCTCTCCTGCGTCCAGGCGGCATTGGTGACCCGCACAAGAATTACAATGCCACGGACGATTGAGTGCTCCCAATTAGAGCGCTCTTAAGTTTGTTTTAGCCTGGCAACGTAGGATGTAGCAGTACTTATTTTAATAACGGGGAGACCTTGCAAATACTATTCTTCTTTTCCCCTTTTCTAGGCTGAAATACATCCCATTCGCGAAACGTTTCCACAGTGACCTAATCATCGGCGTGCTTTTTGACGGTGATGCTATACTTACCTTTGGCCTCGAGATACTCGCCCACTAAGGTAGGTACCGAGCACGTGGAGCAGAAGCAGAACGACACATCCGCCGTGGAATAACCGCCAAAACACGAAAAAGTGATCGCGAAAACGACCAAAACGAAAGCGAGCAATACGACCGAACCTTAATCCTGCAAGCTGTTCTACCCATCTTGTCTCTCGTGCATGTTGCACCGCGGGGTTCCTCGGCGTTCCCGTGATCGTCGAATATTCATCGACATGGAAGCTAGCTCCCGCAGAATAAAGTTGGGTTGGATATCGCAATGTATGTATAGTGGCCCAGTGGGCTACCAATGATACAAAACAAGCCAAGCTGGCTCCGATGGAGTAGAGTAAGCACATGAACATCGTGTTTGAAGCCAAGGCCACGGCGTTATCCTCCATCCTCAATTCCAGCATTTGCCACCGCTCTGTATTTGACATCTCTGGCCTTCATATTCGCGACTGAAAATTCTGTAGCCGGAAAGAGGCTCGTGAAGCCGGGGTTCGATTGGGCTCTTCGTATTGTAGTCCCTCGAGCATTGGAGGTCCCATCGCGCGGGTTCGACCGCACTGCCTTGGGCAATATTCGTACCAATGCATCCGACTTGGCTACCGAATACTTCGACACGGGTATATTGTGCGTCGAAAGATGTTCGATCACGTTTCAGCTCACATTTAAATATCTGCATCAAACCGCGAGCTCGTTAGTCGCCCTCGCCGACCAAAGCTATGTAACTGGCATTCTAGGTTTGAAAACCCGGCGAGTCTCCGTCCGAGATCTCGCTCCAGAAATCACCGCAGTTTGTCTGCTCCCAATGCCACATGCGTGGGCATGCTCTATGATTTAAGCGTCTCAAACGTATCTAACCAACAGAACCCTTCTTACTCCAAGCTTCGTAGGCATCTACTCACAAAAGCAGTCTATAAGAGTGCGTTGGAAAGGTCCGGTTTGCAACAAGAGCGGTGCTGCGACAGGCAGCAAAATTCTTAGCACATCTCCCACAGAGGACGAGGCAAGACTGTATGCTTCTTCGGACTCGACCGCTTGCCTTGCTCCCGTACCGTCACGTACACCACCCGGCGGGCAGGCTCGCCTGTAGTGACAGAGTGGGATTGTAGACCGTAGTAATCCGAGATGGAATGCGTCAACCATCGCCTGTAGAACACCAAGGTCAGTAAACATCGCAAAGAGAAAGGGGGCAGGGCCATACTTGAAAGAAGCACTCTCGTCATCCCCCAACGAGTCAAACACCATCCCGTCATCAACCTTCTCACTCCCCACCTCCCGCCTAGCCTTCTTCCACCCCTTGCCAGCAGAAGCCATCCCCTTCCTGCCGACAAACACGATCTCCTCGTCCTCGCTATCCCCCTCCGCATCGCTCGCCTCGCTCCGCTCCTTCAAGAAACTCCGCACGGGTTCTTCGAGCACACGCACCCAGCCGCGAACGGCGGGCGTCCGCTTTGCAGTATCGCGCAGGTCGCGCGGCACCTCGCCGACAGACAAGCCTGTCGCAGACCCGTCCTTTCGTTGCTGCTTCTTGCGTTGAGCCTGGAGCTTGGCGGTCTTCTCTTCGATGCGTTGGCGGAGGCCGGTATCCCAGTACTGGGCGACTTGGTAGGGGACGACTTGGACCGGGTAGGTTGGATGGACTTCCCAGTCGCTTGGGAGGGGCGGTTGAGCGTTTGGTACGCCAATGAGGCGATCTATGAGACGGGAACAACGTGGTTAGCTATTGGAAGACAAAGAAAGACCAGGGTGATGTGTTCATCATTGCAAGTCCTCCTGTATCCAAGAGAAGGGAAGGCTCACCATTCTCCCATCGCCGACGCGCCCGACTCCCCTCATTCCCCTTCAAAAGCTGTTCCCTTTTCTTCTGACTATCCCGCCTGCTCAATGGTCGCCGGATAGGCGTCTGTTGTACAGTCGTCGTCTTCTCGGCGGCAATCGTGACAGCAGCAGAGGCCTTCTCGACCTGCTCATCGAGGTTGATAGTCAGCGGCGTTCCCGTGCCGCGGGCAATGGGGCTAACGCTCAGGGACTCGAGGGCGGAGACAGTCCAGGCCTCGATATCAACGGAGCCGGCGGTCGCGCTCTGGGCTGCGACGTGGGCGGCGACCGGAGTCTGGGACTGGGGTGGCGGCGAGGAGACGGTGTTTGGGATCTGGTGGTCGATGGCCTCAGGGGGAGGGACGGCGCTGAAGATTGCCATGTTGGGTGGTCGGGGTAATGATCGCGTGAAGGGATGGCTTTCGGCGGCAGCAGTGGGATCGGGAATTGGATAGGGTAGATGGATGGATGCTGAGAGCGGAACGCGGAGAGGATGAGCCAGAGGAGAGGTGACGGGAGGTAGGGTTCAGGGCTGCCGATAAGGGGGCGATAAGGGCGGCGATCGCGGGGTGGGTGCTGCAGATAACAGAGAGTTTAGGTGGTTGGGGAGAAGACGGGGGTTTGGTGCTGTGAGGCGTCTATCGCAGGTCTAGGGGCTGTTCTCGAGGGTAAGGATTCTAATAATGCGTAGAGGTCTAAGGTAGGTAGATCATACATGTACGACAATGGTAGTTGAAATGAGGATGAAGTGGGAATGGCATTACTGGGGGAGATCGATGATGGCGACCGGGGTTGGATTAGCTCCGGGGGGGAAGTAGTGTGCAGTGGATGACACACTTGATTTGGGAGCTTCGGCCAATCACGATGCGAGCGCAAACCACGTCTTCTCATTCGGCGTGATTCACAAGAGCCAATTATGGCGGCTCTTGAATCACGTCGACTCATCTTTGCTCATTCAAATGCCTCACACAGCTGAATGATAATAAACAGTTCGAAGGCGACTTCTATCACTGGAAATTGTACTACTCCGGGCTTTAGTGGTACTCTCAGGCATTTGCGTGGGGCATAGTGAGATTGTTTGTACCTTGTTTCGCTAGGTAGGTACTTGTAGTAAGTGAGTAACTACCAAAACGGCGCGAAGCATCGTTCTCAGGACGCAACCCTACTTCTCTCATCACTTCACATCAGTCTTATCTGCTCTTATGCTCCCCACCGACTTCTGTATTCCCAAAATCCTTTTCATCCTGCTGCAGGTTGCATGGTACCATCGCCGGGGTATTTGCGAATGAGTTGAAGTCCGCGAGTGTGTTTCGATCTTAGGGAGAACTCTCCCTCCATAACTGCTCATCTCCATGGTATATCATGAGTAGTTTGACTGGCTTCTTCTGAACTTGAAGCCTAGTTCATATGGCAGATATCCAAGTACCAGTCTTGCGCTACCCAGGCCTCAGCTTTGCTACAAGCGCCATACGTGCATGAAGCGAGGGCATGGTGGGACCAGAAGCGCATGTGGAACATCTTGTCCATGCAAAAGTCGTAGACGCTGACTTTGTTGATGTTGGGGGGGTACAGGTGATTCTCGCTTTGGAGACAACCCTGCCAGCATTCGGGGAGCTGGTGAATTGGAAGTGGCCCCCTTGAGAGCGTTTCTTCGTCCTTGGGTCCTCCAAGTTCTCCTGCAACTGCAAGGGAGACGCTGGAGAGGACGGCGAAGATTGTCGTCGTTGGCTTCATTTTGGTGGTTGGTTGATGTGTTGTGAAGTGGAGTCTCTTGTGATGTTCGTTGCGTCTCCTGAGTGTGCCAACAAGCTTGTGTGGATCGCGAAGCTTGACTGATAAGTGATGCCGGATGAAGATGGATGCTTTGATTATAGAAGAGCAGTGAATGAGTGATGAAGCTTGTGAGTGACAGATGCTTATAGATGAGGAATGAAACTTGAGGAGGCCTAATTCCTAAGAATCAGAGACGTTGCAACTGGAAGAGTGCCTTCGGTCTAAGCGTCCTATCGTGCTTTTCTGGGAGGTATCGTGCTCTTTATGTATCTGTCCATACCATCTATGTCCGTCCTGCCGCTCAAGACCTAGAACCTTAACCGAAAATTACTCGTGACCTCAAAGGTCAACATCCACGAACCTTGAGAACTACGCTTATACATGGAGTGTCAAATTGAGGCTAACAGTTCGGTATCAAGGTTCTCACGCAACCTAAGGCTGGCCTGTTGGCCAAGAGGCGCACCGGCCACATAAGGTTTCCCAAGGCCATGGTATGCCGCGAAGCCTCCACCCTGCGTAAATTCCAAGATGGAAAGCCTCCTTTGTCAGTCACGAGTATTGGAATACCATACCTCAGTCAAGATACGAGCAAACGGGAAGGTGGTCTTGAACGAATCGTGAGCCATGTCCGATCTACTGACGTTGTCACTTTGAGATTACTGCCGACAGATAGGCTTGGTTCTTGCGAAGCTTCGATTTCTCGTCTGCTAGTGTCACTTTCGCCAAAGCTTGGATTACCACCAAAAGTCCTCGGCGGCAAACGCTGGGCAGTAGGTGATTGGTAACCTGCGAAAGAGACTAGAGCTGCTGAGAGAAAGTGTCGTAGCGGACGAGGAAGCACCATCTACGCCCTTCCTCCTAAAATGGACGCTTAGACAAGCCGTTAGACTACCGTATAGCTGGCCGTTGAAAGAGAGCAGTTCGACATCAAGACCTCGTGTCTTTCGCGCAAGCTGGAGCTCATACCGCTTGACTAGGTACTTGGAGTTCAACAGGTACCTTCTTCTACGTGTCGAATAGAATCCCAAAGAGCTCTTACCTTAGTAACTTGGCTACCTTCCAGGCTGCTGGCTGCTGAGGAGATGGGTCGAGACGTTCCGATACTTGATTCTGTCTACCAGAGCTCACCGTAGTGGATTCCAATCCCTGACACCTCCTTCTGCCATGTAAGGTAAGGGAAGATACCTCGACCTACCTACCTTCCTTAATATTGACGTGGAAAGAGCTCCGACAGTAGTTTCATACTCTGCCATAACGGCCAGACCGCTCGCCGCCGCCGAAATACCTCAACTATGCTACGGATGACTGCCCACAAGCACTCAGTCAACAAGGAAATGAGGCGATCTAAGACGGAACTAGGATGATCTAATCATACATCTAGCACTGCATATTGGGGGTCTGGTAAGAAGGGAAGTGGGTGTGAGGTCGCCACGCCGACATTTTCTCCCAACTGCCTTACAAGAGGCTTTTGCAGGCAGAAAGGTCGTTTGCCCGGTCAGCACCTCTTTCCTAATCCACGATAAAGGGACTCAAACATCAGAAACGGCAAGTCCAATTTAATTGCTTATCATTTGGTGCAGGCACCTTATCTTCACTATTACCTGGGTATTTCAATTAATTTGTTGTACACTTTCCTTTCTCAGTGGCGTCTTGAACACTACGAACCCACAACTATGCCATTTCCATTTTGAGGTGTGGAAGGAGCTCGCTCGGACTTTCGATAAGGTAGATGTTCTCATCGTCCTTTTCCTTCTCTCTTGATTGATCTCAAAATAAGCAAGATGACCCTGGAGACTGCCTCCATAAGGTACGCTTAGAAGTGACCTGACCAGGGCAGAAGCGAGCAAGTGAGGCGGATGAGGTCCTGTCACTGACCAGAAGTCCTACAGATTGATGGCCTGTGTCCGACTTCAGGTTTTCCCGGCACCCTTCGGAAATTTCAAACGTAATACTGCTGTAGGAGTCAGGAAAGCACTGCGCTCTGCCGCCCATCAGTTGGTGACCCACCTATTCCAACCTAGGTACCTACCTAGGTGGAAGGTGGGACGGCGTGGACAGGAGCGGGTCAAACTCTCCGGGCCAATCACAGCAGCTCGTTTTGACCACCAACGTAACTGCCTTCCTCGAGCTACCTACCTACCTTAGTGAGGCGACGGGTACCTCGCGTCCAGTGGCCATGCAATGGGAAAGACCGCAGAATTGTAGCTCCTTACACTTTAAATCGCCGACTGATCGATTCAATCAAGCCGACCACGTCATTGTTGCGTGACTGCTCTTCGAAAGGGAGGTGAAGATCGGATTCTCGAGGAAAGTGTGAGTCCGCTGACATGAGGAAGGGCATCCCGTCGGAATGACTGTCGGGCGATGGTAAGTTTCTGTCCTTGATGCTTGTTGCAAAACTTCGACTTCTTGCCTCTGCAGTCCCCGGCCTTCCATGCCCGTCAGTTCGGATGCTTGCCCAAGGTAGTCTGGTGGGAAAGCCAACAGATACATTCAGATTCCTAGTCACGCATCGTAGTTGCTGTTATTGCGGATCTTCCATGCGAGATTGCTGCGTCAGGTAAGATGGGAGAATCCCGTACGTCTTGTCTAGGTAAGTAAGGTAGGTTAGGTATTCTGCTTCCACGGGTCTTCCTCTGTTCTTGTAAGCTCTCGTCACATACATCTTGCCGCCTCTTGCTCTTCCGAGTCCAACCACCTTAGTCGCTCTTTCCTGTCATCGAGACCCCTGGGAGCCTGCTAGAGACAGGAAGGTACCTTATTGCATGAATAGAGACGCGGTACGCGGGCATGCTGAAGCTTGTGTGGTGGTGGAAAGAACGAAAAATGAATGGACTTTGATCACCGTCATCTCAGACCTTAATGCGTCTTTCCTCAAGGCGGGCAAGGTATGTGAAGGGAGTCTGGAAACATGGGTAAAAGACACGCTTCGCCAGTGATTGCTATTTGTTGCTCATGACGATTCAAGTGTGTTGATAGCTGCTGCAATTCCTGCCATGCAGGGAGCACTTCCTTCCTACCTTGAAAGTTAGTGTTCTTTGGGGTGCCTTCCGCTCCTCGACATGGCGTTCCTTCCCTCGTTGTCTCTCAACGCCCTTGTCGTCATTGTGGTGCCTCCATGCCTGACGAACCTGCTGGTTCTTGAGAAGGAGGAAGGTACGGGGACTCATGATCAGGCCAGAGAAGGAAGGAAGCCCGCAAAAACTCTCTCGTGGGCGTTCTACTTAATCCCCTTCTCGCCCCGTTCCCCTCTTCTGAACTTCTTCTCTTCTTCGGACCACGAGTAACGTACGTTGACCACCCCCAAAGGACGAGTTTTCGATCAAACTTTGCTGACTTGACTACAGACGAATCTCAAGTGAACTGCCTTCTCGTCTTTTTTTTCGTCTACTCTTTGTCCTTTCATCAGAACCTGCCGCAATCTGCTCTCCGCCGCCGCCATGGAATCCGTTGTTGAGACGGTTTCCTCCTCCGCCGCCTGGGTGATTGGCGTGACCCTGGCTATCGCCAACGCCTCGTTCGCATGGGTCTCTGCCTGGATCCCGGTTTTGTTGGTCTTCGACATGGCCGCGACCTCGTGGTGGGTCTGTCATTCTTTGGGTTCGTCCAATGTCCATCCCATCATCCCATCCCATCATCCCTTCTTTACTAACCGGTTCAAGCGACCATGTTCTTCATCCCTGCCCTCCAAGATCAACCTGCCTGGGCCGCTTTCGTCCCGATCTCTCGTGACCTCGCCACTGCCTACGCCCTCTTGGTTGTTTACGTCTTCGTCCTCTTTCACACAGCTGGCTGCCTGGTGTCCCTCTGGTGGTATTCGTACTGCATTATACGACGAGGGTACCGGATCCCGAGAGGAGCTGTCACCCGCCGAAAGGTGGTTATGCAGACCCTGGCCGACGCCGACGATTCCCGGTACTGGTTCGACCTGGGGTTCCGACCCAACCTCTGCCTTCGCTGCTCCCGTAACGCCGACTTGGAAGGTGGGGAGGGCCCTGGGTCGATACTGGACCGGATGTACCACGGCACGACGAACAAGGGGGTGGACTTGGGGTGCATCGCGCTCTTTGACCACTATGTAAGTTATCCTCCTTCTCCCTCGTGTTGGCAGAGCTCGGCTAATGATTCTGGTCATCTGATCTAGTGTTGGTGGTTGTGGTGTCCGGTCTCCTTGGAGACTCAGAAGCCATACCTGCTCTTTATGGGTTGGGTTGTGGTCTTCCACCTTTACTCTTTGGGGGTTCTCTGCTGGCCTCTGGCGTCCTTTGGAACCAGGTGGTCGCTGCCCCCTGCTGTCGTGGCTGCCGGAGCCCTTCCCTTCGTATTCCTGTGGGTGAAGAAGGCGCCATTCCGGGGTCAATGGGTTAACCAGGGACTTCGGAACCAGACGCACAAAGAGACGACGGCGTATATCCGGAACCTCCCCCAGCAGGCATGGCCGATGGGGATTGCCGGGCCTAACGGCTTGGAGCATGTGACGGTTGGATTTAACCCGTGGGATCTCGGCGCAATGGGAAACCTGCGCGCGGTGCTAGGCGACAGCATCTGGGAGTGGCCTTTCTTCTGGCGTACCCCTCGCAGGGTGCGTGAATTCGGTGCTCACCCCGATTGGGATCTCCCTTTCGGACCTCGGTGGGGCCAGTTCATGGAAGATCGTGCTCTGGTTGTACCAGTTGGGGGTCTACCGGATGGCATTAGCCTCGCTCCTCTTCCTCCCGCCCTCCGCAACGACATTTCGCGGCGCCGACGCATTTGGAGTTCGGAGGATTAGGCTGGCCGGGGGCCAGCGACTTGAGGTCGGTTACTCGCCTCGTCGCGCCCTGGCACACGGTTGGCGGTCGGTTACGCGCCCCTCCGTGACGGCTTGAGGTCGGATTTACTCGCCTCGCCCAGTCTACTCTCGACAATACATGCCAGCCTGCCGTGCAAACAGGCACCAATATGTATTACGCCTTCTCAGGACTGATGATCCTGGCAGGCCTCGCCCATCCATTCGAAATTTCGTTTGGACTTGGAGGATGACAACCTCTTTAAAAAACACGGCCGACAATGTCGCACCTTCACGCTGGTGTCGGCTGTCAGTAGTCGGAATTGCGATCGGGCGATCGAAGACGACGAAGCCAACGCGACGGCGGGTCACTGTTCTGTCATTGGAACACAACCTGCCACCCCTGGGTCTCTCAAACTCTCGACAAGTCACACACTCACACTCACACTCACACTCACACTCACACTCACACTCACACTCACACTCACACTCACACTCACACTCACACTCACATTCACTCTCACTCTCACTCTCACTCTCACTCTCAACTTCAACAAACACACATTGTGACTTCGAACTCTTGCCTACCATCAAACACACGCCAGGCATTGTTCACCCCAGGGTTCCTTGCAGTCTCAACACTCTACACTCACCTCATCACTCCGGACCCATTGCACATCTATCATACCATCTGCAATGTGGCTTTGGCACAGGAAGTTTGCACAGCTACCTGCGAGACTGCAATCAACAGAGGCTCATCACCTCGGTAACCAACCTCGGCAATCATCCACACCTTGCCTTGAGGTTCGACCACCACTCTTCACTCAACAACATTCTCTTTCAACACTGTCTCCACAGACTCTTGACACAACTTATTTCCGACACAATCACGAACATCGGATGATTCATCAGTCGATCGAGACATCAGTTGAGCGACACATCGCTTGAACAACACATCAGTTCAACGGCACATCAGCTGACTGACACATCAGTCAATCAACATGGATAGCACCTTCGCTTCTCCATCATCAACATCTCTGGACTCCGCTTCAGATCGGCACATGGATGGTTTCTTCCTCATCCACGACTCACTTTGATCCATCTCTGGTCAAGTTTGGTTCTCCATGCACTCGAACCATCTCTCCACATGCTTTTCAAGCAGCAGCAACTCGACCATTTGTCCTCATCCCATTCTTACCAATCGATGACCTTTGGTTGACCCTCCAACATCCTTAAGACGTAACAATCTTGAGACGTAACACTCACACATCACGTCTCTTACCCCAACATTCTCGTTTCTGGGGCAGCAGAAACTCGGCAAACTATTTCGGCAGTTCTCACACTTTTGACTTCAAGCTCTTGGTTCTCTGTTCTCTTCATGATTCTTGGGCCACAGATACTCGGCATTTCACTTTCAACCAACTATTTCATCTTCTTTGACTCTGGTCTTGGCACAGTGTTCCTGAAGCAGCAGGAATACGACACACTTCTCTCATCCACACTCTCGGCTTGCGACTTGGCACTCGCGAACTCAACCTTCTTCTCTCATCTCGTTTCTGGGGCAGCAGAAACGCGTCACTCCATTTTGACGCACCACTCCATTTCGGGTCATCACTTCATTCCCTTCACTTCGGTTTCCTTTTCTCTCACCCGCACTCTCAGCTCGCGACTTGGCACTCGTGAACTCAACCTTCTTCTCTCATCTCGTTTCTGGGGCAGCAGAAACGCGTCACTCCATTTTGATGCAACACTCCATTCTGGGTCATCACTTCATTTCACTCAGTTCAGTTTCCTTTGGCAGAGGAATTTGACAACTCATTACCTTTCTTCAACTCTTTCGGCAAATCTTTTCTTCACTTCGCGTTTCTGGGGCAGCAGAAACCCGACAACTCACCTCATTCAACATCTCTGAATTTCATTTCACTTTCCTCTGGCGGGAGGAATCAACGCTTCACACATCTTTTTCTCTGGCCATTCCTGGCTACTCTTCACGTTTCTGGGGCAGCAGAAACTGGGCACTTCACTCCGATTCGGCAATTTGGACCGGTTCGGCCTTCACTTCATGTTCCTGGTTATCGGAAGCCTGGCACAAACATATCCTTCAACTTCTTTGGCACTTTCTTGCCTTCACCTCACGTTTCTGGGGCAGCAGAAACTTGGCATCTCGCCTTATTCAACAACTTTGAACTTCACTTCACTTTCCTCTGGCGCGAGGAAACCAGTACTTCACACGGCACTTTCTCCATTTCCGGTACTTCACACTTTCACTCGGCATTTCTGGGGCAGCAGAAATGTTCTCTCCTCACTTCGCTCTCTTGGCAACTTGAGCTCGACACCCAACGCATCAATCTTTTTGTTTGGACTTCTCTCTTTTCCTTGCTTCCTATTCTTCTTCTGAGATAGCAGAAGCAGACATATGGCTCAACACATCTCATTTTTCACTCCCCGTTCCTCCGGCGACAGGAACCCAACAGATCACACTTTCTCTTCTTTTGCACTCTCCCCATGTGTCTGGGGCAGCAGAAACTCCTCAAATCACATGACAACGGCCCCTCTGATTCATCTCACTTCCAATGTCACAGGAGCTTGGCACTCCTCGCATATTCAAACCCTTCAAGCAATCTTCTATCTTTCAGCTTGCTTTTGAGGCAGCAGAAGCACCACACTTGACCACCCGCCGATCTCTATTCAAAACAGCCAGGCATCTCTCTCATTTCATTCTTGGATCAGCAAGGGTGATACACAACTCGCTCATCCAGCTGTTTGGCACTCTTCTCTCGGCTTTGCATCGGCACTTTTGGAGTCGGCTTCATTTGCTGACTCTTGGCGGCTGTCTTCGGGGCCTGCGGCGGACATCCCCCGGCCACCAGGCGGCAAATCGTCAGTCATTCATCATTGTCCACCTTTCTTCTTGATGCGACTTCGTCACTTGGAACCTTCACATCGGAGACGCCTATCGACAAACGGGAAGGGGTCCGGTTGGCGCCGAGCTGAGAAGCGTTCTTCACAGAACATTCTTCCTTCAATGGGCACTTGAATGCTCAACCATTCTTCTCAGCAGATGGATCAATCGCACGCAACTGGGCGATCTGTTTGTCTTTTTCACATGCCCGGGGCGTGAATGCTAGGGCGGTGGGAAGATGTGGCCTACCCGTGCTCACCCAAAGGCTTGTACTCTCGTCACGATCTAACGTTGCAGCTGCTGATCAGCACAGGTACCAGAACAACAGATCACGCAGCGCTAGCGTCTTGCTAATTCAGTCACTTGGAGCTTGCAGGCTGCGAGCTCAGAGTTGCAGTCGAGCGTTGTAACGGGACGTTGCAAGCCACCACCAATCAACGCCATAAACACCGGTACTTGAACCAGGATCAAGTACGTCACATCTTGATCGGCATTCCATGATGGAAATTTACTCATGTTCCGGCACAGGTGACGACGGTTTCATCGCTTTGCGAGCCAACCAGTATTTGGAGGTCTGCTCATGGTATGGTTTGGAATTACTGACCAGTGCTTCAGCTTCTTGAGTCGAAGTCTGGCCGCGCTTGTGGCTGTGTCGAAGCTCCTACTCGGACGACGCGTAAGGGTTCAACAGAGGCACGAAGATACGTTGCCGTGTCGCATATTGATTGGTCACCGAAAGGTATGTCTCGATTCAATCACTCTGTGCTCCAGCTTGACCACTGACCACAAGCCTTCGTCCAGTTCCCAGACAACTACCAAGTCCAGACAGAAGGCCGACTTTGAGGGACAAAATGAGGCATTGGTGGAAAGGGATATCTTGATCGGCTTGGGAAAGCTAGAGGATCGTTTCAGTGCAGTGGGATCCGCTACACGGAGGATTATCTAGAGGGCAAGGGGAGATGGCCAAGGGATGGAGTGCGGAACACCAGGGCATACTTGAGGCGGAAGCCATTCAGGACACGTGCATTTGGAGGCGATGAGCGATGCCATACATGTTAGAAGCAACGCGTTCAGATCTGTCGTTTGACAAGCAACCTCCGATAGGCGATTGTCAGCGGTCTCTTGAGCTCCTACCTATGATGACTTCGGTGTTTTCGCAGGACCAACGCAGGAATTTAGGTTTTGTTTCCACGCGCACATGTTTGAAAGTGTTGTAGTTCCTCTTTGTTGGAAGTCGATGCCAGGAGCATCTCGCCTACGGATCGCCGAGGTAAAACACGTTTAACAAAGAAGACGAACGTTGCAGAAATTCAACTCGGCTGGGATCACAGTCATACCAAGCTTGCAAATTGATCAACAGCATCAGGATGAACGGCCTCGCCACGTACGTCGCGGTGTCTCCTGGTGGTTGAAGCAGAGGAAGCGGCCCCGCTTTGGGGGGGAAAAAACGGCAACGCACCGTTGCCCGTCCGGGCCCGGGCGGACAAAGAAGCTATTCAGGTTGTGGTGAGCTTCGCCGTGAATAGCTTCTTTGTTTGTTGTGAACACAGTCAAAATCAAAGGCTTGATCATTCCCGGGTATCGCGTCTAGTTTAAACATCTCAAATCTGTAGATAAAGCTGCCCACCTCTGATTCTAAGATGATGGCCGCTCATGAGGGCGAAAGCTTGTTCCGTGCCAAGTTAATTGTTCGTTTCTCTGCATAACACACTGAACAGATTTTCTCGAGTCAGGATGACCTGCCTTCAATCTCTACCCCCCGAGACTATCTTGCAAATCGCAGCTTGTTCAGACCTCAGTTTCTCATGCCTTCGCCATCTCCGACTCACCTGTCGCGGCCTTGCCGTATATATCGCACCGCTCTTGTACCGCAAAGCTGTTCGGGACCACGCTGTTCTCCTGCGACTGGTGCGGAACGACCAAAGCGATATCATTCTGCGGGTTCTGAAAAGCCAGATCAGGCCAAATTGTGTTGCACCTCAACACTACCTAGATAGCTGCCTCCACGACGCCCTTCTGGGAGGTCACCTCAAGGCTGCCGACGTCCTTTTCGGTAATGGAGCTGAACCCGTCTTTAGTATCGACGTTGCAAATCGCTCAGAGCATCGTGAGACCAGGGATTGGCTTCAAGTCCATGATGCAACGGGACTCGGGTCTCTCGCACTTGCAGCGAGAAGCCGCTATCACATGACGTTCTGGTATAAGGATTTTGAGCCTTACACATCCGAGGAAGAGTTCTGGATCTATAAGAAGAAGGCGATGAAGACTATCTTAGAGAAACTCAGATCCCATTTTGGTCGGGATTCAGATCAGTATGGATTGAAGATATCGGAGGCCCATTATTTGAGAGATGAACACGAGGATGAAAAGAAGGAACCGATGCTTCGACATCCGAAATACGCCAGAGAGCTTGACATGGCCCTCGCCGAGGCTGCAACTGCAGACGGGCACTCTATCGAACTGATGGACTTCCTATTCGGGTGTGGAGCAACTGTCACCTGCGAACTCACACCGCAGCTTGCTGGGCATGCCTGGCACAATGCCCTGAACGAGGAAATTCCGGCTCTTTTCGAGGCCAAAGTGGATCTGCTCCTGCGTCATGGCGTCGACCCGACGAGTGTTTGGACCTGGGAGGGTATGCGGACACCGATACAGTTTTTCCTCCGCAAGTTATACCGAAATTTTCAATACTTTGAGGAACCCGGCGCCTTCACAAATAAGGTCTTTGGTTATATGGAATACCTAGAGTCGCGTGGCTGCCTACGCTGGCCAAGATCCACTCTCAGATCCTTTGTGCTCAGCGTCGGAACTGTTCAGATTAACTGCATCATCGACTATCCTCGTGCGGAGGAGCACGATGATATGAGTACCACTAGTCTTATTGAAGACGCCACAGATGGTAGGCGTGAGCTTGAGCTCATATTTAAAGAGCCGGACCCATCCCTGCTACCACTCCGAGTAGCTCTATCGAACCAAATTGCACTGAAGCACTTCCGGGATCTGGTGATCCTACCGTCGCCCACATTCAGAGAGTGGGTTGATAAGGAGTCAATGTCCAATGCTATTCAAGATCTCGATAGAATGTTCAGGACCTTTTCTGTCTCGTCACCTAGTGTGGAAAGCACTCGTGCTGCAGAGGACCAGCTCAGCGAGAATCATCCTGGACCCGAGGCTGAGAGTAGTAGTTAGTCTGTGCCCAGTAGTTTATCGACGGAGAATTGAACATTGCGCACTTATCTTTTGAACATGCTGATATGGAAGAGCCACTAGGTATTCAACTGCTAGAGCTTAATCACATCCATTCGGTTCTCCTCCTTCCTGAAGATGTGTCAAAAGGGAAATACGTGGCTGGAGATGCCCGAAAGTCTACTTCATCATCACATACCTAGTATGATCTAGGTATCCTTAATCCTAGAATATGCCGCACTGGATCCAACGCCTCTCGAGTTGTTGCCTTCGTGACTAGCCCTGCAGCCACTTGAAGTGCTAGAGTGGAAAGAGTAACTCTCCTCGCCTACCACTCCGCCCCTCGTTTCATTGCAGTTACTCAATCAATCTGAGTCGTGTATCTTCATCCGTGTTGACCCCCAAGGTCTTACCTCTCAGGGTTGGAGGTGATCAAGGTTCAATTACAACTCGGTACGCCAAGCAAACTCGGAGATGCAGGCATGTCTTCAGGGCTCGAGCAAGTTCAGAGAGGTTCTCGAGAGGTTTGAATCGCCAGCCTCTTTCCATAATGCTGGCTTGGAAACCTGCCAGTCTACCACACACACACACACACACACACACATGTACATACATACACAAAACACCTTCGTCTGTGAGACAACAGCAACGCATCAAGCACGCATCTCAACACCACATCAGCCATCATACTTCAGTCTATCAAAACTACCATTGGGGAAACAGCCAAAATGAAGTTCACCACTATTCTTCTTGCCGTATTGCCTCTCGTTGCCGCCGGCGGAGGCCCAAAGGACCCAAATAGTCTTCCGAGGATACGACTTCCGATTCACGAACTGCCCGAGTGTTGGCAGGAGTGTTTGCAGCTAGAAAACAACCACTACCCTCCCAATATCAACAATGTTAACGTACATGACTTTTGTGTCGACAACGGCTACCACCTCCGATGGTGGTCTTTCCACACCCTCGCTACATGCACAGCGGGCAAATGCAATAGGGAAGAAGGCTTACAGTCACAGGAGTGGCTGTTCGATCTCTGCAAAATGAACTAGTTCCAAACAGAGACACAATTGCGTGACGCACACAGGCTGTTCGAATAATTCGCCTTCAAATGACATCGGATAAATACGACAGTATTTCCATGGCCGAGGTTCCAAACACCGATGACCTACAGGAAGCTAGGCTCAATTGGTGTTGCAGGGCCACAAGTTACAACATAAGCATCAAGATATGTCATAGAACTCGGCTATCATTGGAAGTTAGAGACAGGAACGAGGCTCGCAGTGAAATAAAGGGTGCGAGCTGGCAACGGCCTCAGTGATTATCTAACCGAGGACCGGGTGAAGGGTGATGAGGCTATGGATGATTGAGGTCATCGCGACAGATGGGCATTTGAGGAAGCCCCGGCCTTAGTGTTGGAAATTATCAATACGTCAACACGCAATATGCAGCTGGCAGGATGGACAAAGATGAGAGGGCAGAATGGAGGTGTTCGAGACTGATTGATATGAGCTTCACTTGTCGAAGGCTTAAACTTAGGAACGTAGCTGCTCCTAGTACAGGCAGCTGGCAGCTGTTGAGAATGCTTTAAGGGCGACTACATCATCACTATAAAATGAAAGTTAATGACTATCAAGAAGATGCTCCATGAATCATCGCCTGGACCTCCTGTAATAACAAGACGGCAGGCTCTTGACTCAACTCACGATGGCATATAGCGCTACCCATCGGGTTCATGTCGCCATGAATGCAGCGGCCCACTGCACTGTAATCATGCATGAGCTCGTATAGGTATTCCAGAATGGGACTGGGGAGATCCAGAGACCGTGATGACAGGACAGTGGTTCATTGGCTCGCTGTACACATACCCATTTTATGAAGGTGAAGTCCCGAGGATTATTTGCTTCTGGCTGTCACCATTGGCACCCATCTGTCATAAGGACGGCAAACAGAATGGTACTGGAGCTATTGAACGAGCATCGAGAGAAGAAGAATTGATACAATAAGAGCAGGGGAACATGAGGCCGTGTTCTCTCGGAAAGGGTCGAGACACAACACACAGCTAGCTGCCTGCAAGACGCTCGAAAAACTATCCGCGTATCCTCGGGAAGCCGCTGAGTCAAACCGAGACTTCATCTCAGGAGGTTGCCAGATTAGGCGAAGTGGATTCATCACTGACTTATCTAATTGGTTGAATGGAGACATTGGCAATTTGAATCGCAAGTTTGAACCTCCAGGCGCATGAACATGACCCAGAAGTCACACCTGAGGCGCTATCGACCTAGAATACCCAGAAGGTAATGTATTTGTGCAGCTGACGAGGAGTGAACAAAGGACAACCTTGTGTTCACCGGTAACACGAAAACATGGGGTTTGCTACCTTGCCTTGGTCAATGGTGACCGCAACGGATGTTTGGTTCCTTCAAAGCCGTCATTTGTTTGAAGTTCCGTCTCCACCATGACTCGCAGGCCTTGGCCTGTCACTTTCGTCTGATTGGCTGGCGACACGCCAAAGGATGCGGTGCAGCAACGCGATGAGCACTAAGGACCTAGGCTGGCGGCCCGATGGGGCGCCTGCATGATGCAAGGCAGCGAGAGAGAAATTGTTGAGTGACCTTTGCAGTACTTTCATATTGATGTAGGTAGACGACGGCGGAATCAAGGCCTGTTGTTCAGTCCCGTTGTCCAGTTGATGGTATTCTGAAGGGTCAGAAAATGCAAAAAGTACGAGGTGGAACGCTTTTACCGTATGACGTAAGGCATCCTGTACGTACAGGTAAAAAAGTCCGTCCGGCGGCCGGGAGCGTCGGGTTGACGGAGCCGGAGGCGGCGGATGATAAGGTAAGCTGACAGGTGACAAGGATTGGTCACAGGGGTTGGTTGAGAGCGCTGCAATGCACCAGGCACGCCGCACACCAGATTCTCCCGCTCACTCCCAGGTCGATTACCACATCAAAGAGAAATGGATTGGCACCCTGGATCCAGATGCGTTATGGATGGGTCCCGCGTGCCCGCCCCATGCCGCTGTCCGCCCGTCATGCCGGGCTGACGCTTTAGACCCTTCCTCCGAGCGACCTCGCACCGTTACGCTGACGAGTAGAAGTTCCTCAAATCAAAAAAAAAAAAGTGCGAATGCAACGAGGACTACGTTCTTTGTAATACATCACTTTTTCCTGTCTGCGAAACGGACACCCGATCATACAGTGCTATACACATACAATGACGACCGATACCGCAGCTTCTGACCCCGCGGCCAGGGTCAAGTCCCACGCCTCGACGGTGTCTGATGTTGGGTATCCTCATGGCCACTTGGGTCACCTCAACGAGCACGAGGAGACGCAGCTCGCCGCCTTCAGAACGTTGCTCGAGGAGAAGGGGCTGTACAAGCCAGGCCCGCCAGCTTCCCACGACGACCCTACTCTGCTGTGAGTTATTCAGCAAGATCCTCTTTTTCTGCCGCAGTCACCTACTGCGCCGGAACATCCGGAAGCAGACAGGAACGGCATTTTTTGCTGACTTTTTTCCGCCTTATCTTGCAGCCGATACCTTCGCGCACGAAGATGGGTCCCCGAAGACGCTCTCACGCAGTTCAAGGACACGGAAGCCTGGCGCGCCGCCAACGACATTGACGTTCTCTACCAGACCATCGAGCTCGACGCCTTCGAGCAGTCTCGTCGACTTTACCCGCAATGGCTTGGCCGCCGTGACCGTCGCGGCATTCCCATCTACCTCTTTGAGGTCCAGAAACTTGATAGCAAGACGGTCGCCACTTATGAGAAGCTGGGCAAGGAATCGACCTTTAGCAAGGCCAAATTCGACGGCAAGACGCCCGCGGGCATGATGCGCCTATTTGCGCTGTACGAGAACCTTACCCGCTTCACGCAGCCGCTGTCGACGCAGCTGAGGGACCGCGAGCACCGCGATGCTCCCATCACCCTGAGCACCAACATCGTTGATATCTCTGGGGTCAGTTTGAAGCAGTTTTGGAATCTGAAGGGACACATGCAGGCTGCTAGTCAGCTCGCAACGGCGCATTACCCAGAGACTCTCGATCGTAAGCAGACATCCATCGCCGTCATATTCACTGTACTGACAGACCATTACCAGGTATCTTCATCATCGGTGCCCCTGCATTCTTCTCCACAGTCTGGGCCTGGATCAAGCGTTGGTTCGACCCGATCACAGTCTCCAAGATCTTCATCCTCAGCCCCCACGAGGTCCGCCCGACACTCGAGCAGTTCATCGAACCCCGCAACATCCCGAAGCAGTACGGAGGCGAGCTCGAGTTCAAGTTTGGCGATCAGCCAACCGTCGACTCCGCATGGGAGGGAATCGTGGAGTGGGCGCCCGGTCACGACCGCTTCACGTCACGCCCTGCCATCTGGCGCGAGACCGAAGATGGTGCCCGTGTTGAATGCATTGGTATTGGCAGCGTCAAGGGCGTCGAGCAAAACGAGGTGATTTGCTCCGTACCCAAGACGTGGCCGCCCAAGGCCGAGGTGCCTGCTGCTGAGCCGACGCCGATTGCAACACCTGCGACTAAGGAAGGGAGCGTGACGGAAGAGGCTGCCGCCAAGACGGAGACCGAAGCGCCTGTCAAGGCCGCCGATGCGTCAGAGGTTGGCATACAGAAGCTTTCCATTGCAGACGATAAGCAGGTCGCGGAGAAACACGTCGAGGGCAGCACGTCGACGCCCCCGTCGGGACTGGCATAGACTAGTGGTAAACGGGCATGACTTCGAGACTGGGGTTTGCATATTTGGTGTGGCAGGGTTGATCTGCTTGGTGACCTGGATATGGTTTGATCTAATACCCCAATGGTGATGGAGTAGGTCTGGCAGGGCAAGGCAACATTGGCTGGAGTTACATCTTTATCAATTCATTTCGGGCATCTATTTAATAATAAAGCATTTGGTATCACGACGTTGTACCGTCCCATCTACCCAACGACCCTTAGGAAAACGCAACGAAGGTGGATCTAGGTTTGGGTCATCCCGTCTCTCCAT